GCATTGTCTATGCCGGTATACTGAAAACTTTCCTATCTTCTTACCAGAAGCTTATAAATGAAGGAGGAAACTACACCCTTAAAACCGGTTTCTGAAATCTTCCACGGAAAAAAAAATGTTTTACGACGAATTGCACAAGGGGGCTACGCAAAATATAAAAATTATTGAAGATTTTTACTTAAGCGACCAGTGAATAAAATGCGCATTTTATTGATTCGTCAAATAATAATCCTCGAGTGGAATTTTTAAGGAGAATAACTAACAAAATGTAAATGGGGAAATAATCAACGTTCGTGGCTGCATTTGCAACGACGGGAAAATGAGTTTCATGTGGACAGTTGATCAAAACCACCTATGATGTCTACTGTAGTTGAACTCTGTGGCATTATGAAGATGTAAGGTCCATTTTGGCGGCGGTAGTTACGTAAGTTTATGCGCTAGGTCAGATAAATCCTTGACGTCAGGATTGAGTCCCCTTCTGCCAAATCCAAAAAAGCTTGGCAATAAGCCGACATCACATGATGAAGAAATAGGAAGGTTAAAACTTTTGTTGACGACTGTAGATCATGTTGCTGGTCAGACTACAGTAGTCATGGTGTGCTCTCCAGACACTCGGCTCGACTCGGTGCGCGTACGCTATCCGGGTAAGGATGCCTTATAAACAACACCGTACTTTTCTACGCACAACTAACTTCCCATTGCTTAGTAGTTTATTATTTGTTTAGTTTATTGTATTAATTTGGTATTTAGATGTAGTCCAGTTTACTTTGTTTACTATTTAGCTCTATTTTCGTACAGTTTATATTCAGTTTAGATTTATAAATTTATGATTCAGTCTTTTTTTATTTTTATTTCCCCTTACATGCCCTATCCATACAACTCCTGGTACCACCGGTCCCGTATTACACAAACCTGGGTTTTCGTTGTTGTGGTATTGTTTAAAAGGAACCCCTAGCACTGCCCACCCTTGTATCAACTCTATCCTCATTCGCCTCTTCGTACATATAATCACCCAAATCGATGGGTGAAGAAGTTTAAAGTGCCACTGATGGTCACGCTCATGTCGCAGCATATCACACGAAACGAGCGAAGTCAGGGTTATGCGTATTGAAGCAGAACAGAATTGCATAGGCTTCGACCCGACTGAACACACTACGAATAAAAGGCGCATAAAAACGTCACCATGTGGTCGCACCATGTTCCTTAATAATAAAAATAATTACAGAGATAGCGGCGAAAGTATTGTGCGGTACAAACAAAAACATCAGGAAAATATTCCCGCTTGCCTAGGGCGGAAAAAATGAGACCGAGAGGGAGAGGGTTGTCAAACGTTTAATTTGAGCATATGATCGTGCTGCGCTAGAGCCGAGTGAAGGCCCTCGCAGCCTCGCTGGTTAAAAGCATATATTAACCGCTTAAGTAGACGAACCAGCGGTTAGGCCGTACTTACATGGACATTATCGGGTCCATTGGTAGGACTGGCCGCCTCCAGTTTTGACGGCGGCTTTGTCAAAAAATTTGGATCGGAAGGCGAAGTAGCAGCAAATGTCTTTCCGCCCTGAAATAAAACGAGTAAGGAAGTGTTAAGTAAAGCAACACAACTCGTTCATGTAAATTCATCTAACAGTAGCTTCCCACTAGTCATCTAGGTCTACTTAACGAAGGAAACTCAGTGACAGTTCTGTAAAACGAAGAACGACATTTTCCTGAGCAGTTAGTAAAGAGCAAACAGGAAGATTTGTAGTAGCCCTTCAACGTAAATGGAGAAACAAATGCCAAAATGAGCCTGTCAGCCGTCGCATACAAAGCTTTACAACTTCTGAAAATAGCAACTAAGCACTGACAAAAAGGTAAATTAATGAGGTTGAACTGAACTGTTAACTATTATTCAAAGTATGTCCAAAAATGGCCGACCCCACCTAACTTAGTGAGGGCTATATAACGAAATATTCTCCGAAGCGTCCTATTAGGATACGTCCAGAGGATAATAAGATATCGAACAAGACACTGACAAATCACTCAGTATAGAACACCGTTTCATATCGCCCTATGATCGTGTACAAACAACCGAGGATTAAATACAGTTGAGTTGATCAAAGATCTACAGTAACGATAAAAAGATGGACATACTGATAAAAGTGACTAGCCACACTACATCAGAAATAATACTCGGCAACTCAAAAGAGAAAACCATAGATTCGAGGGTTATAAGACGGTATACACAGAATAGACGGCATCTGAACTAAAAATGTTGCAGAACCCATTACTTGATAAACAATAAAGAAGCTGGTAACGAATGCTAAACATCATATTTCTAAGGCAGCCAGTAAAATACTACAAAGTTAATATCAACGACGGAAGCCGGCATCTTCATCCTTAGGGATTGTAGTAAATTCAGAGTCCTATTTTTGCATACCGGGTAAAAACACCACCGGAAATGTGAGCAACATGAGGAAACGACTGGTTACAACGCTTGCATTTTGCACTCGATCTCATGTGGTCCTTTAACAATAGGCGTTGTAGTACCCAAGCCGAATCCACTAGCGTCTCATTCTTCAAAAACTACGACGCGATAGAATATCTTGCGAAGAGCGCTCGCTAACAATACTTGTCTACTCAGATATTCCTCTTCAAGAACGTGCTATTGTTAAAGCGGGGAAGGACATGATATCTAGTGAAAAGTCGAGAAGAGCTATCGCAGCGGCGGTCTTGCCACTTTTAGGCTAGTATACCTGAAATGATTCGAAAGCACTTATGATGCTGGGAATTCAATCTATTAAAATTATAAAGGAGAGGCAAGCACAAAGGTTTCGGTTTTCTGTTCGCAAAAACCACCGTTCGAAATTGGAAAAAGATTCAATAGGTCTGATACAGTCCTCGAAAACATTTTAAAGCACGCCATTCCCGGCCTTGAATACACCCAGCCTCGAATTCGTATTAGGACACTGGATGTAAAGCTAATTAAAACGTGGTAGTAACATAGGCGATCGTTTCCCTTAATGAGAACACATCAACATTTTCTGTCCCCAAGGGAAAATATTATCAAGAATGACGCGACCGAGGCCCAAATTCTTAGCACAAGGGACCAAAATGTGATCGAGCTACTTGTTGAAGTCTTAGTGGAGTTATGACTTGATATTAAGCACTTATACAGAGTTGGTGTGCAAATCTAACCAGAGAATCTACGCCGTTTTAGTAGTTCACAGCGGCAAAGTTCTGCTGTAGTCCAAGGAAAGGAGCTCAGCTTCCGGAAGCGTGTGATAACTACTGGACAGTCATCTAAATTTTTGATTAGGAGCTCCTTTGTCCCGTCGCAGGTACAGTAGGTGACCGCACAATGCCTAACGATGGCTCCGATGATGATGATGATGATGATGATGATGATGATGATGATGATGATGATG